TCGCTAGCTGGCGATTAGCTGGCGATTAGCTGGCATCGAGGCTGGCATCGCCCACAAAATGGCAGATTTGCAGACAGGGACGCCATTTTGTTTGTACCAGGGGTGCGACTTTCCCCCTTACTTACGAACTTATAAACACAAATTTCTCCCTAATTAGTTGACCAATCTTGTTGCCTCGTATCCCAAAAGACTCCCAGCATCTCAGGGAATCTGCATGGTCAGCGGATATGATTCTTAACGCCGTATTTGTGGAGAAATAAGAAAGGGGGCTCCGTAACAGGTTATATCTTTTTGCAACGTCCATAAAATGTTTCAGATTTTTATCATGGTCTTTTTCAGAATCTCCACACACACAGACATCATCTACATAAGCAAAGGTACTCTCCACACTTTCTTTCTCGAGGATGCCATCAATAACTCTTTGAAAACTGGCCACTTCATTAGTGACCCCAAAAGGGTTCAATTCCAAAGGCTTTCCACAAACCTGGAAGACTTTATACGGTTTTTTCTTCCCCTTTTAGACGTACTTGATGGTAAGCACTTCTAAAGTCTAGCATGCTGTATATTTTAAATCTAGCAACATTATTCACAATCTCATCTATATGTGGTAAGGGGATCATCAATCCCACTTTGAGGTTCACATGATGGTAAGTTTATCTTTGCAGTTCTAGGTCTACAGAACACTGACCCAGGAATTTTGTAGGAAACGATACAGTAGCCATAGAAAATTCCCCATTGTTAGGACAGACGAGTAACCCGCTCTGCTCGACAATATTCTTATGAATAAAGTTCTCAGAGCTACCAGTTTCAATCAGTGTACTGATTGGAATCCCATTGATATTAGAGCTAAACACTGATTTATCAAGGCATGAGGGTGAAGTCCAAGCTAAAGTAGCAAGCATAACAGCTGAATGTTGAGTGCTTGAAGCTCTGTTTCAGAGATCGACAGTACTTAGCATAATGACCCTTTTTCTTGCAATTCATACACAGAGCCTCCCTAGCTGGACATCGACAGCGAGGATGTCGAGTGTAACCATAAAAGAAGCACCTTAAACCACTAGTTTTAGTGGTTTTTTCTAGCAGAAAATGTTTCGGCTTTCTCTTGTACAATTTCGCGTCCCCCCTGAGCCCTCCAGGTCTAATGAGTGTGTCACACAAGCGTTTATAGCCCCTGGCTGATCATAAGAGGCAGAAAGTTTCTGTGCCGTTTCTAGAGTGTGAGCCTTTTCATATGCTGACTGTAAGTCTAAAGTTTTATTTTCAATTAAAGGCTGCCTTATTGTGGCAGAACCTAGCCAATTAATGAAAGCACCTCTCACATAGTTATCACAAGCTTCTGCAGCAATCACGGCTTTGAACTGACAATCTTTAGCTAAAAATTTCAATGTCTGAAAAAACTGGTCAATCAATCCATCGAGTTCTTGGCGTCGTGTTGCAAGCACATATCTTGTGAATACTTCATTCTTAGGCTTCACATAAAGTATATTACACCGACCAGTATACATGTGAGTCACAGCTGATCTGCTGGTCACCAAACCACAACAGTCAAGCGAGCATCCATCCGGTACAACAATACCTCCAGCCAGGTACAATAGATACAACACTTTCACTGCAATTTCCCATTCTTATTCCTTTTGTACATAGCTTCTATTTTACCTATTACATCCCATAGTCCTTTGTTTATCCATTTTGGTTCATTGTTGTTTGACCTAATAAATTTGTAAGGTATACTACGTTATTTGGTTTTACTTAGAAAAAATTAAATAATTAAATCTACATCGGACAAGTTTGTCACGTCTCCCGCCGCCAGGCTCACATCAGGTCAATGAACAGCCCACCTTCCATGTTTAGGTTACCAATCGCAAGGCTCAAGTTAAGCCTGCCTACTCTCATGTTCACGGCTCTTCAGTCTCTTCTACCTCAAACAAATATAATCCTTTATCCCTCAGATTAGCTCTCCAAAAATATGGCACCTTAAGTGACTTTTTTCCTACACATCTATTCCTTGCTGCGATAAATTTGACATCCTTGTGATCACTGTTCTCCAGCTCACTCCCCTATTTCGATGTTATTTATTCCGGTTTTCCTATAAGATAACACTAGGTCTGATATATTGAGTTCGTTTTTGTCTTGTTAATGTGTTGTTTGACAGAGCAATTATCAAATTTTACAATATATTCAGCTCCGGAACTCCCATTAGGGAAAATCTACCATTGATTAATTTATGATTATTTAAAATGAACAGTATTTAATTGTATTTATTACTTACGAGTGAACTGTATTTTTATAATATACTATAACAAGTAAACTTCCTTTCACACAATTGCAGGATTTTTAAATTCAGTTTATCACACCGTAATGAAACGGTTGATACAATTTAATCTACTAAACTGTAACTAAACAGTAGTAATTGTACAAATGGGTTAGTGATGATTATATACAGACTCAGCTTTTTCTGTAGTGTTGGCTGGTCATCCAACATCAGAGACCCTCGGATGACTAAAAAGTATTGGCATTGGTCCTGGGAAGTATCAGCTCATTGTTTTTCTTGTGGTCACAATTTACCTGCCGAAATGCTATATCGTAAAACGACGACTAATTTAGAGTACAGGTGTTACACATGAAACTAGATTATTATAGTAAATAGCCTTTTGGGGTGGTATTGTCCTGCAGCTCAACCATCTATTTTGTAAGTCATATGGCCATAATAACTAACAAATAAATGGGGTTAGTCGTAAATTTAGCATTTGCCTATATTTCGTGAAGTCTTACAGCAAATGTCAACTATTTTGAGTCACACTGCATTCCTGAAGTAGTTTTCTGCGTTGTGGGAGGCACACTCTGTTGCAGCTCAATTCATCAAACAATATAATGCTTCTTCCTTGAGATGGGTCCCAAAAAATAGTTCCCTTTAATTCTAACTCATTTGATAACTAATAATTTAGTAAAGTGTATTGTTAATTTCAGTCCTAAGTGTGTTAAGTATTATTGATTAATTATATGGCTGTTAAATTAATTCCTGCGATGTGGCAAATAATCTTTTTTCTGGAGTGAATTTTATACAGTTTCCTTGAATGTATGACTAAAATATTTTAATTGATGTTTGTATTGAAAGTTAATAAATGTTGTCGGAAATTTCCGACATTCCCTGTTTAGTTAGTCCGGTTTATTTGACTAAACAGAACATTGTCTGACCTGAATACTGTAGATATTTCATCCTATAATGCTTTGCTTTCATTCTGTTGATGATTGCTAGTGTGTATTTATAAGTCCTAATAACCTATTTTTTATATTTTCCATTTAATTCTAAACAGAGATTTTTTTTGTGTGGCCCAGTTTTGATCACCTTTTTGACGCTATATTTTAAATTTCCTCTGAAACATATTGCTATGCCCCTCCTCATCTGATCTGTCTGTGTGCGATAATTTGAGTCCCATAATTTGATATTCAGTAATAGTTCTCCGTTTTCTACATTCATTCATGTTATGGTTAGTGCAATAACACATAGTGTTTCAGCACACTAAAGAACATCTAAAATGGCCATTTTGTTTCTATTACTCATACTGTTTGTGTAGTACACATTGAGTGCCTTTGTCCACCTGTGATATTTTGAATCAAACTTTCTACATTCTTCTCACTGCTTTTCTTTCCATAATGTTCTAAGTGTCCTTCTTATCGTCCAAACCAGAACCTCAAGAATTTACTAGTTTGACGTCCTAAAGTCTGCTAAGGACGCGGCCCTATCCCTAAGAGAGGTGAACTCGACCCTCATGTACATAGAGTTCTGGCCAATGAACGAGTCCCAGTTGTTGATGATTAGCATTTTACAAATAAAAATGCCTTTAAATTCAGTAGTTTATCCTAACTTCCCTTTACAACCACTCACCACCAACACCGATCCTCGTCAGAACTTTACAAATGAGATGAACCCGTAACTATTTCCCCCAATCATATTATTTATAATTTTTTAATTTCTACTCATGCTAATATCCTTCAACAATGCAAATTCACCTCCAACACAGAGGCAGACAATAAGCTTGTTCCCATGGCGGTCAAAATATTGTCCGTCCTGTCTGCTGTCACATTCCCCGCCCTATGGAAACACACCTTTGTCCTGTTACAAACATCACTTGAAATATAAAACCCTATTTTATCTGAGAATGTCTATGAAGCAAGATTTTCTTACCTATCCCGCTGAGTCGCATCAATACTGTACCTCCTGTACCCATGCCTGAAATCTTCTCTGTCTCCACTATCGGGGGAGCAGCTACTTTCTCTGAACACTCGTCCACCAGTGCAGAGAATGTGTTTGGAGGATATTACAAGTATCAATGACCACTTCATTGTCTTCCTTAGACACTTATTTCTGGAGACAACCCATATTATTGTTTTCATATGAACTTCATTCACTATAATTTAAGTCTTCATGTTGCGACAAGCAATTGCGCATCTTCTTCACTTCTTCGTTAATGGGTCTAAATCTTTCCTCATGTCCGCGCACGTGTCCAATTCCCGCACTAAGCTCGGCTCCAACTCCAATCAGTAACAATCCAGAAGCTAACCATCTTCTTGAGGTTATCTTGAGATAATTTCGAGGCTTAGCATTCCTGCGGCCCGGTTCTCGACCAAGTCTCCTGTTTTGTTACACACCCCCAGGAAGCAGTCCGTAGCAGCTATCTAACTCTCAGGCACCTATTTACTGCTAGATGAACAGATGCATCAGGGTGAAAGAAACTCTGCCCACTTGTTTCCGCCTCCACCGGGGATTAAACTCGGAACCTCAGGATAACGAATCCCGAGCGCTGTCAACTCAACTGTCAGGCCCTCTACGCAACTAGGGTCAACTAGGGTCTGAACGCAACGCAATGCAACTAGGTAAGTACAATTACTATACACAACACTCTGGGGTCTTTAACAGTTTTCCAACATGTCAAGAGCCCATCTAGAGGTGAGCTTCGACCTGTGATCCGTTATGATCCTATCATCTCTATTCCTAACAGGTTGTTAAGCTGCAGGTATGGGAACTTTGGCAAGATGGGTGATGTTGTGTGCATTGATGTGGGTGTGGGCGGCCTCGGAGACGCTCTACAGGTTAGACAGCTACCCCGGCAATGGCTACCTCAACACACAGAACTTTTCGGTTAACTCCATCATAACCTGTGCCATCTACTGCAGGATCCAACAATGTGTATTCTTCTCTTTCAAGGGTATGTTCTCGCCTTAGTTTGCTTACTTGATAATATTTATCCATGTTAACTGTTTTAGAGGAGGATGGCATAACTCCCTGCAAAATTGTCCAAGGGAGGCTCCAGTCTTGATAAGTTATCAATGTTTGTTCCATTGTCCCGAGTGCCTTTGTCCCAATTCACGCAGGTTGCCCCAGATGAGGGCGTCACAATGATAGTCAATGTTTGTGGTGAGTTATCTCCTGGCCCCTGGTCCCTCAGACCTCCTGGACCTGGTCCCTCAGACCTCCTGGACCTGGTCCCTCAGACCTCCTGGACCTGGTCCCTCAGACCTCCTGGACCTGGTCCCTCAGACCTCCTGGACCTGGTCCCTCAGACCTCCTGGACCTGGTCTCTCAGATCTCCACCGGAGAACCCCTCCTCGTGAGCTGGCTCCTAGGCCCAACGTATCTCATTATGTTCCCCCTGGAAAAAACTTTGCCAAGTTAATCAGTGGAGTATGTGTTCCTGGAACCTACCTCTCCCGGGTCGTCCCCACAATGATAATCAATACGAGAACTTAGCTCATGGACGCCACGAGTAACTCCTGTCATGATAGCTTTGGTTTGTGAAGAGCAAAATCTGGGGCCATAACTACTTCAGGTCGTTTCCGCCATGATAATGAGAGTCTGGTGTGTTTGTTGCGTCAGATGGCGTGTGTGTGGTGCACGACCCAGGGCTGGATCAGCAGGTGGGCGAGGAACAGGCTCGAGTCTTCACTCCCTACCAACCAACCGCTCCCGTAGACGTTGCTCGCAGCAAGCCCACACTTCCAAACTTTCAGTGGGGCTCGTAAGTATTAGTATGGGGTCTGACTTCCCTAAGTGTCTCATTTTTATTTTTACTCGTCTCAAATTATTTTTTCCCTCTTTATTACCCATTGTCTTTCTTTCTCTCTCTGATAAGAGGCATAGACGAACCAGGATCTTCTGTGTAAAATTATGATTTCCAGGCATTGTAACACATGTTTTGTCTGTTAACAGAATCTGTGTTGAGTTAGTGCGTGTACTAGAGAGTACTCCTTTGGCATAAGGTAGGGCGGAAAAGGAGAAGGTACTGAGCCAGAATGTAAATATTTTATTTCGTGTTGTGATGTCTGTGCATGAATCAAAATTCTCCCCTGCATTCATTAGTAAGAGCAGAACTAGTGGAAGGGATCCGAGGGATGACCTATTATAGACATCCTGGCCTGGACACTTCAACTTTCTATCCTTTCATTCATTATGAGCACTCTCTCAGTGGTGTGCGATTGGAGGAGAATTAAAGAAGCAGAGATTATTTGGACGCTCTGTTCCAGAATTTTGCTGTGAACAGGCAATCTGATGTTGGCTTTTGGAGAGGGAAGAAGTGAACTGGTTAGGAATACCTGAGCTCCTATAGCATTGCAGCAAGTGCCTTTGTCCCATTGATATGTTCATCATTGTTATTTGCTCAAGAAAGAAATTCCTTATAGAATCTATTCCAGATAAAATATTTACGTTAAATAAATTTTACACAGTTGGATTCATTCTCGACACACAATCGGTATTCCCAGATTCGAATCCAAGAAATGGAAGAATTGGTTGGGCACGTTTCCTATCGCCTAATGCCTGTTCACCTGGCAGTAAATAGGTTCCTGGGTGTAATTTAGCATGTTGTGGGTTTGCATCTTGGGGAGGGTCATTAGTTCATGGGGAGGGTCACTGTTCTTGGGGGAGGGTCACTGTTCTTGGGGAGGGTCATTAGTTCTTGGGGAGGGTCACTCTTCTTGGGGAGGGTCATTAGTTCTTGGGGAGGGTCACTGTTCTTGGGGAGGGTCACTGTTCTTGGGGAGGGTCACTGTTCTTGGGGAGGGTCACTCTTCACTTTCTTGGGGAGGGTCACTCTTCTTGGGGAGGGTCACTGTTCTTGGGGAGGGTCACTGTTCTTGGGGAGGGTCACTAGTTCTTGGGGGGTCAGGGTCACTGTTCTTGGGGAGGGTCACTCTTCTTGGGGAGGGTCACTGTTCTTGGGGAGGGTCACTGTTCTTGGGGAGGGTCACTGTTCTTGGGGAGGGTCACTCTTCTTGGGGAGGGTCACTCTTCTTGGGGAGGGTCACTCTTCTTGGGGAGGGTCACTCTTCTTGGGGAGGGGTCACTAGTTCTTGGGGAGGGTCACTGTTCTTGGGGAGGGTCACTGTTCTTGGGGAGGGTCACTGTTCTTGGGGAGGGTCACTGTTCTTGGGGAGGGTCACTGTTCTTGGGGACTGTTCTTGGGGAGGGTCACTGTTCTTGGGGAGGGTAAGAGGGTGACACATGGTGTGGGGAGGGCAGCAGTATGTGGGATGTTGTGGGGCATGTAGGGTAAAGGGGGGTAACAAGTAGAAGGACTAAGTAAGTGTAAGTATAGGAACAGGTGAGGTGAAGAGGTGAGCTATAGTAGTAGTAGTAGTAGTAGATGAATAAGTATGAATATGTGCCATAGAGTTAATCGCGTCTAGATACATCCTAGACCCACCCTTTGTATGGATACCTTCACACATAAATATAACCCATCATAATGAGACAGACATTGCAGCCAAATTAGCGTGTAACAAGTTTGAAGTTGAATTAGATCTAGGTATCCCCATCTCTGCTGTCAAAACTGTATTGGTCAAAACATTCAGATCTGATAGGAAAGAACTTACTGACTTCCAACGACCTGAAAGTACTAGTATAAAAAGCTATGATTTGTTCAGATCTGAAACCTACATCTATGGACTGCACAAAACGTCCACTAGACTGTGCGACACAGTGGTTGCAAGGATCAGGTTGGGTTACCGTTACCTGTGGCAGGTGGCTACAGGTGACGGGTCTCCTAATCCTGAGCACTCCAGTTGCAAACTCTGTGAGCAGGAACTACTGCATGATCTCCCGCACTACATCACTGAATGTCCAGTTATTAGGCCTTTCAGACCAGTTGGCATAAGGTACCTGGAGCTCTGCAATTACTTTATTCACTCTCGTATTCTTGAAGATATCCTCACAGTATACCCAAAATTTGCCAGTGCAGGCTACTAAACACATGGCTCTGTATGACTAACCATCCTGCGAGATGGGGACTTGTATTACCACTGCTACCTTATTCAATCTTGTGTTGTTGATATCCTCAAAATGCATCCGGAGTCTGCCAGTGCAGACCGCTTATCACATGCCTCTGTATGACTAACCATCCTGTGTGATGGGGATTTTTTAGCATCACCTAGTTAGCTTTTTTGACACTGTACTCCACTTCATATAGTCTAGGGTAGCTGCACTAATGCAGATGTACCTAATGGGTTAATAAAAAAATAAAAAAACTAGATCCACCCTCCCATGCTTGGCCCAGCCTGGGAGACCGAGCTTTAAAGATGGGTGGTTAGGGAAGGGCATGTGAAGGAGGTTAAGGGGGAGGGGAGTATCGAGGGGAGGTAGTCGGTAGCTTTAACTGATAGCGAGGGTGTTTTTTTTTTTTTAACAAAATGTCTGTATTATGTAGTGAAGTGAATATATATGTATTTTACCAATTCTCGGCCTGTGGTGTGGATCTCCGTAGGTGATTAGTTTTCAATGACAGACTCAAGGGGTGTTCGCGACAGGAGGTCTCAGCATCAAATGGAAAGGGAGAATGTCCCGTAATAGTTTTTGCAAACAGCGGTGGTGGGGCACCCTCCTCACTCCCGTCCCCTTCCTTGCTTCCAGAGTGGTAAGGAGCGGCACCACATACCCACCACATAGACCTGAGGAGTGTCACTACATGCTACATGGCTGTGTGCAAGAGCGAGCATTTTGTACCGCTCTCCTCTTTGAGGGCGAGGCATAACTGGTGAGAATGACAGCGATGCACTGTACCATAGTCACTCCTGACATAGCTCACACCGCCACATAGCAGCAGCAGGAGCAGCAGCAGAAGCACATAATCATGAGGTTTTTCACCACATGGTAGCAGAGCGCTTATGACCGGTGTGCGGTCTTTAGCGGCCCGTGCAAGAGTGGATTGTGTTTGCATTTAAGGTGTCGTGGAGTCCGCCCTGAGCAGCCGTGGAGTGAGGACGTGTCCCGGCCTCCGTGACTGCTGGGGTTGTTTGCTATTTTGGTCGCCAGGTGGTGTGGGCGTCTCTGCCCTCCCAGTGTTGTTGCCTGCCTGGCTGCGTGCTGACCTGGCAGTTCTGACATGGGGGGCCTTCCAATTCCTCCTGTTCTGCGTGTGAATTCCGTGGGACTGGAGTTCTCGTGTACGGCTGGTTATCCAGCCATTGAGTTAGTGATGTGTGACATGCATCGTGTCCCGGTGGAAGCTGTCTACGGAATTGAGCTTGTTACGGCCCACCGAGTGATTATCAAGTTCGTGAGGGAAGACTTCCTCCGTCGTTACGAAGGGCGTTTGTTGCTGTTGCCAGATGGTGCCGGCTCTGTTGCGGTCTCGGACTGCAGTGGTGCCCTGACTTATGTCAGTGTACACGGTGCGCCCCTGGAGTTCCCTGAAGACCTTCTCCGGCGCTTCTTCGGGAGGTATGGTGCAGTCATCAGTGTGCGGGTGAACACGCTTTCCTCGGGGAAGTATGCTGGGAAGAGGACGAACATCCGTATCTTAGGTATGCGCCTGCGGTCGGATATCCCATCTTCTGTCCGGCTGCTGGGTTACTACGTTCGGGTGTATTATGCCCGGCAGCCCCGTACCTGTTTCCGATGTGGCCAGTTACAGCATCAGGCTGCCGGGTGCTCTGAGGCCCCTGCTGCACCTGTTAACATGTTCCGGGAAGAGGATTTCCCGCCGCTCCCTCAGGGCGTGGATTCCGGAGATGAAGAGGGGCAGGTCCCGTTCACTGCTGATGTGGCCCCCCCCCTGCGTCACCCGACATGCCCCCGGTGGTTGTTGTCCCTCCTCCGGGTATTCCGGTGGCTCCTGTCGCTGGTCAATTCGCTGTGCCAGTTGCTCCCGAGGGTCTTCCGGATGATCTCTGTGAGTCATCTTCTTCTTCCTCGTCTCCTGCTGATGCGCCTGGCCCTGCGCCCTCGCCAGGTGTTACGGCTGTGCTGGGTGCTGGGGGGTGGGGGGTTGCAGAGCGTCCTGTTGTGTGCAGCCCGGTTCCCCCCGTGGTTGAGGCTGCTGCCGTACTGCGACGGGCGTCGGTTTGCACAGTTTGTGAGGCCCGTGGTTCAAAGTCCGCCTCCGGCTATGAGGGTGTGCGGCCGGTGCCCAAGTGTTCCAGGCGTTCTTCTACTGCTTGGGCTGATGTGGAGGACTTCGATGCAGGTGGAGCTTCAGGCAATGATGTGGTGGTTCCGGGTGCTTCGCGCTCTACGTTGCTGGTGGTTGCTGACGTCCATGTGCCTGCTGTTGACAATGGGTGGTCGCTCCTACGGACGTGGGAGATCAGGGTTCTGGTGCAAGCCGAAGCCTCAAGCTGGTGCTGAAGAAGGATGCCAAGTGTGGGGGGTCCCTGCAGGTGCAACGTCCGGTGGTTGATGCGGGGTTCTGTAAGGCAGCCGTGGAGGCTCCCAGTGCGCTGCCCATTGCCGCGGCGTGGTGGAAGAAGCCCCTCCCTCTCGTCTTGGCCTCCGGCGTGGCGTCTGATGCTCAGAATCCTTTGCGGTTTGACATTGTTGACCGTGTGCATCCTGTTCCGTGGTGCCCTTCTTCCATCTGGGTTCAGCGGGCTCGGTGTTTTGTTGTGGGTGTGCCGGAGCTGATGCCTGATCCTCGTACAGTTCATAATGAACCTGTTCTGGATGACGTCATGTTACTTTGGGAGGCGTATTGTGTTCAATTCCCGGCGGCAGAGTGGCCGGATAAGTATGAACAATTTG